CAGTGTCATGGTAATTAGATGAATGCTAACTGTGGAAATTAGTTTTAATAAGAAAATTATCTAAAGCACTATGTTTGCTTCCTTATACATGATCTTAAGCCAAAATACCAAGAAGCATATGTATCCAAATAAGTCATAATTTGGAAGGAACCAGAGGGAAAATTAAAGGGAAGGGAAATATTTTTTTAACCACAACACATAAAGCTGTAAAATATGCCATCATTTGAACTTGTGTGACCATTCAAAAAAAACCAAATAGAAACATTATGACTTGAAACAAAACCATGTTAATAAATATGTGTATAATTTAATTACAAGCCATAATTCCAATGAAACACACATAAAATATGCATATGTTAGAAATATATATGTTTGTGAATTCTCAAAAGGTGTGAGATATAATATCTGTACCCAAAAACAACTTTTAGAATAAAGGATTATTAGAATAATGATACTTGAATAACTATTTCCAATTTAATAAACTTTCTAAGATAAAGAAACGGATTCATTAAAAGGGTAGAAGAATGAAAGAGAAAGGCATGGACAAATTTCTCATCTTCAAGGTTCTCCTCTGGGTTTCCAGATGAGCATGAGGTCCTGCTTTGCTAGCTTTGCCTCTTTGCTTCCTGAGTTCACATTGGAGGAAAAAGTGTTTGGGCCCTGACAGTGCACTTCTCAGATGCTGCTGAAGCCCTTGTTTCCTCTGTGATGGATAACGATGACCAATGACAGTCACTGGAACTCTGATAAATTCCATGCACTAGTCAGTACCTAACTCTGAGGGAGAGGAGTGTGGCATAAACCATCTATCGGCATCTAGACAATCTGCTGAAGCTGGATGTCCAAAGATGTTCAAAGATAAGACAAGCTCCAGGAATGGGCACAGAAGTCAAACAATACTCCATTAGCACAGTGTTACGGGTAATCAGTTTTTTGAGTGATTGTTAGAAAAGAAGATAAACAGTTTCAGGTATTCTCCTATTAGGTTTTACACTGTGATAATATACATTTCTGTGTCTCCAATTCAATAATGAAGAGATATATAAATGCCAAAAGGAAAACATTCTTTCAAAGCCATGGACCCTAAAAGATGACATACAGTTAATGACAGAGTGAGGAAGGGATTCTGAAGTTTTTCTGTCTAGTGTAAACTTAGAAGAAAGCTGAGGACAGACTGCAAGACAAGTAAGAGACCCTGCAGGCACAGAGAGAAGGAACAGCCAACTTTATAGAGTAATTCATGAAAATATTCCTGAAAGTTAGGATTTTAGGATCAGATTATCTCAAGATTTAGGGTTTCTGGAAAACCCTATTTTAAACTATATTATGCTTATCTTTTTTCTTTAACTAAAGAGCATTTCCTCCTTGTACACATATTCATCGCATACTGTTAAAGTTTGGTGAATTGATGTCAGTATACAGAGACACCAAATTCATCACTGGCACCCAAAAACTCAGGGGAGTCTGTGCCGAATGTAGTCAACTTCAATTTAGAGTAAGTGAAGGTAGGCCAAACAGAATGCTTTTGCTTGTTTATTTACTCAATGTTGGTTTTAGAGTGTGGGACTATGCTCACTATCTTGGTCTAAAGCTACCATCATCTCTTCCCTGGTCTACTGCAACAATGCTCACTTTCTTTTCTTAAAGATTATTTAAATTGTCTAATTCTTTAACAAAAATATTTAATTATCAGTCTCTGTTCTATGACCTGACAGTTTGCATTCCAACTTCAAGCAAATAGTTTATTTCTGACATTAAATGTCTTGCGATACATCAGCAATCAACATATTACAATCATTATAACCATAAAAATACATGACTATTATTATATTATAAAAAGGTCCCAGAGGGAACAAGTACCTTCAGCATAGAAGTGAGATTATCTATCACTCAGTGACTCCATATGATGCTCAGAGAAAATTTTCTGACACATTAGATATCTTGATGACAATGATTGGATGGCAATGATTATTCTTTAAATACAAATGGAGTAACATACACTTCAGATCAAATCACTGACATTATTTTTCATTAATGTAATTCACTTAGAGTGAGTCTTTTACTGCATACATTCTAAATCAATAAATCCTCCGTATAATTGGTTATATCAGACACTAATTTACAGTGTATAAACTTGAAGCTGACATTTTTAAAGTGGGCATAAGCTTGAAGCTTACTATATAATTCTCCATACTGAAATCTTTAACAACATTTTTCTTCAAATTTTACTTGACTGAGATTTCCAGTCAAGTTCAAAACTTCTTAGTTGTGTTAAGAAAGTTCATCACGTTGTTACTGTTGTCAAGTGCTACTGAGTCCGTTCCAACTCATAGCGACCCTGTATAGGATTTCTGAGGAGCGGCTGGTGAGTTTGAATTGCAGACCTTGTGGTTCAAACCAATTTTAGGGTCAAGTGCATATCCTATGGTGCCACATCAGGACTCTTTTAATTTAAAGGTCAAATGTTAAGTGTAATCGTTTTCAAGAATATAAAACATAGTGTATATAATACCAAACTTATCTCTGACAAATAGAGTTTTCTTTCATTTCTATTTCTTTATCCTAAAATTACCAAAGAAAGAGATTATGTTTCAAAGTACATTTCTTGATATTTGCCCTAAAATTAATTTTATTCCCTAGGTGAAAATTCCCTGAAGATTTTCATTATATCATCATGTGTTTATAAATTCTACTTAGAATAGGTGCCAGACCACATTATGAAAATGTCTGGCCTGTGAAAGCAGTATATTAAAACAGTTAAAAGTAAAGATGTAAAAGCTCATTAACAGCCTGCAATATGCAGATGACACAACCTTGCTTGCTGAAAGCAAAGAGTACTTAAAGCACTTAGTGATAAAGATCAAAGAATACAGCCTTCATTATATATTGCACTTCAACATAAACAAAACAGAAATTCTCACCAATAAACTACATAACGATAAATGGAGAAAATACTGAAGTTGTCAAGGATTTCATTTTACCTGGATTCAGTCAATCAATGCTCATGGAAGCAGCCATCAAGAAATCAAATGACTTATTCCATTGGACAAATAGACAACAACAGACCTTCTTAAAATATCAAAGAACAAATAAATATATTACTTTGAGGACTAAGGTATAACTGACCAACTGACCCAAGCCATGGTATTTTCAATCATCTTATATGCATGTGAAAGCTTGCAATGGATAAGGAAGACCTAAGAAAAATCAATTCATTTGAATGCTGGTGTTGGTGAAGAATATTGAAAGTACCATGGATTGCCAGAAGAACAAACAGATCTATCTTGGAAGCAAAGCCAGAATACTCCTTTAGGAGCAAGGATGGTGAGACTCCAGCTCTCATTCTTTGAACATGGTATCAGGAGAGACCTGGTCTTGGAGAAGGATGTCAAGCTTGGTAAAATGGAGGGTCAGCAAACAAAGCTGTGGCTACGACAATGGATTCAAACATATTAACAACTGTGAGGCTGGCACAGTAGCGGACAGCACTTTGTTCTGTTGTGAATGGGGTCACTATGACTCAGAGTCGACCTGATAGCACCTAACAGTAACACATAAATAAAAGACATTTCCTTCATTAACATAAATATACATATTTAAATTTACTCTGACATCAACATATATACTAGTGCACAACAAAGCGACACAAGAGTCATCAGAAACAGGAAACCAGAGGTGGTCATGACAGATACTGCATAGAATGAGTTTTAGGCTTCTAAAAAATTTCTTGGAGGGAAAAGAAAGAAACATAAATAATAGAACTGCTAAATCAATAAGATTCACTTATATATGAACTAAGGCATCATTAGAAAATGATATTATATCTATCACTTTTTCCTAAAGGGGATAGGGAATTATACAATTCAATGCTGCTCACAACATGTTGCATATTTATCTTGGGCAACAGAACACAATCTAAATAATACGGGAACCACTTCTATAGGAAAAGCCTTTAAGGAACTCAGACAGGTTAAAGATAACAAGAGCTTGTGCCTGTGAGGGGTCAGGATGGGAGTTATTGCTTGCATTGTCTGTTTTTTTTACAAGAATTCCCAAATCTGCTGGGGGGGAGGGGGGAAATTGATCACATTTTACCACAGGCCTCCAGCAATCTGTCTCCTTAAGGGGTGTGTGTGTTTATGTGTATACAGATGTAGCATATGTGTGTGCAATTTACATATATGTGCATGTTTACAGATAATTTTACTGTTGTTTTTTAACAGCAAAGTTTTAGGGAGTTTACAGAGTTTTAGGAAGGTCGGCATGCAAATTCAAATAAGAACATTTGTTTAAGAGACCAAAAGTTTCATTTTTATCAATATTATCAATTTGGACTCAAGGGATTCCGGAAAGAATTACTTTCATCTGTCTCTGTTGCTTGGACATGTGGCAGAAATGAATTATAGCTGCTATAATACATGGATGTGAGACAGCACATTGTAAATGCAAATCATTTGTGAATTTTTAGTAAGTATCCATGTTAGGCCATCTGGGTGGAAATGTGCTCAAGTTCTAAAAACACTAACACAAAACAAAGTGATTTGTTTAGGTATACATGAAATATATACTGTTGTATTAGAAACAGTCCTTTTTCCAGTAAAATGTTTGGCAATTCAAATTCCTATTTTTAAAATAAACTTTTTTTTCTTAGGATCCGCATTTCTTTCTCTTTCTTTGTAGAATAAACGTTACTAGCAATTGTTTAACACAAATGCATTTCTGAATAGAAATGGAAAAGTTTATATTAAGGCTAACTCTTGAAATTGCTCTATTTTTTATTTCAAGCTTCTTGATATGACAAATACACCATTTCAACACACAGTGATGTTAGTCTATTCTGAGCTGTTCTCCGATTCATTGCACCGATGAATACATTTTAGTAAAGACTGAAGTAAAACACACAGGGTGGGTAGACACAGGACTTTATGTTTTTGTTGCTGCTGCTGCTGCCATTTCACAAGCAGCAAAGGCAGGATCCGTGTCTTTTGTGCATTACTTACTGATGGGTAGAGGTAACCTTCTCCATTCATGGCGATATATAGCCCCGTCTTCACTCCCTGGATGGCAACAACCCGCAGTCCCACTGGTATGAGGTTGAACAGTGCTGTAGAGACAAACGTGGTCTGTCACAAACAGGCAGCGGAAGGAAAAGACAATCGTAACTTCTTCTTCTCATTTCTTTTATTTATGAAACAACATCTCTTTTACCCTCGTTCAAGAAGTTCAAAAAACTTCTATTTTTCTTTGTAATTAAGAAGCTTCTGCTTTGAGTATAATAGCACTTCAGCTTTTGTGCGCAAATCGCCCTAGCCTGCTAGCCAACAGCTCTCTGAAAAATCACTGGCATAATAAACAGAACCAAGTCTGTGGTAATGATTCTAGTATCACGGTCTCTGAAGCCATTTGATACCAAAAGAAATCAACTGTGAAAATTCTCTAAGAATTTATCCTCATCTTTTGTGGGAATAGTGAAGTTCCTAATTACAGTGTGATACAGACTAGAAGCTAAAAAGTCAACCCCAAAACTAAATTAGTCTTGCAAAACCAACATGATAGCCCAGAAACACAAATGAAAAAGATGTGTATATGCCAATGTGTTAAATTTATAGAGAACTAACCAAATGGATGGAGTCTAGGTGTGACTCTGAGGGCTAATGTGCTGGACTGCAAGGTCTGTTGTTCAAGCTCACTAGCCACTCCTCAGAAACCCTATACAGGATCGCTATGAGTCAGAACCAACTCAATGGCATTTAACTACAACTAAATGGATGACTTTTTTTTTTTTTTTAATTATTCTTCAGTGAGCAATTATGTCATAGTTGAAGATGTGGGCTGAGGAATGGTAAAACAGCATTTAATTTAGAAAGCTGGCCATTCGCTCTTTGGAGCATTCATAACTTGGCTTCCATGAAGGCAAAGCTCTATGTATTTATCTTACATTTAACAGTTCCTATGTGGTTAGAAATGGACTGGTATTGGCCATTTTGAATCTGACCACCACATGGTTTACTATGCAGGGAAATGACAACTTGAAGAGGAATGGTGCTGCATTCATCGTCAAAAAGAACATGTCCATAGCAGTCATGAGGTACAACGCTGTCTGTGATAAGATAATATCCATACGCCTACAGGGAAGCCCAGTTAATACCACTATTATTCAAATTTATGCACCAACCACTAAAGCCAGTAACGATGAAATACAAGAATTCTAACAACTTCTTCAATCTGAAATTGATCAAACATCCAATCAAGATGTATTGATTATTACTAGGGATTGGAATGCAAAGGTTGAGAGCAAAGAGGAAAGACCAGTAGTTGGAAAATATGGCCTAGGTGATAGAAATGATGCTGGAGAATGCATGATAGATTTCTGCAAAACCATTGATTTGTTCATTTCAAATACCTTCTTTAGACAGCATAAAAGATGACTATACACATGAACCACACCAGATGGAATACATAAAAATCAAATTGACTATATCTGTGGAAAGAGACGATGGAAAAGCTCCATATCATCAGTGAAAACAAGGCCAGCAGCAGACTGTGGAAGAGACCATCAATTACTCATATGCAAATTCAAACTCAAACTGAAGAAAATGAAAACAAGTCCATGAGAGCCAAAATATGACCTTAAATATATCCCACCTGAACTTAGAGATCATCTTTAGAACAGATTTGATACATTAAACAGTAAAGACCAGAAGAGTTGTGGGATGACATCAAGAACAGTATTCATGAAGAAAGCAAAAAGTCATTGAGAAGACAAGGATGAAGGAAAATGTCAAAATGGATGTCAGAAGAGACACTGAAACTTGCTCTCCAGTATAGAGATGCTAAAGCAAATAGAAGACATGAGGAGGTCCAAGAGCTGAACAGAAAATTACAAAGATCAGCTTGAGAAGATAAAGCCAAATATTACAATAAAATGTGCAAAGATCTGGAATCAGAACACCAAAAAGGAAGAACATGCTCAGCATTTCTCAAGCTGGGGGAACTGAAGAAAAAATTCAAGCCTCGACTTTCGTTATTGAAAGATTCTCTGGGCAAATTACTGAAAAATGCAGAAAGCATCAAGAGAAGATGGAAGGAATACACAGAGTCACTGTACCAAAAAGAAATGGTTCATGTTCAACTGTTTCAAGACATAGCATATGATCAAGAGCCAATGATACTGAAGAAGGAAGTCCAAGGTGCATTGAAGGAACTGGCAAAGAACACGGCACCAGTAATTAATGGAATGAAAATTGAAATTTCTCAAGAAAATTCAGTGGCTCAGGAGGCACTTACTCATGTCTGCCAAGAAGTTTAGAAGACAACTATCTGGCTGACTGATTGGAAGAGATCCATATTGGTGCCCATTCCAAAGAGAGGTGACCCAAAAGAATGCGGAAATCATCGGACAATCTCTTTGTTATCCCATGCGAGTAAAGTTTTGCTAAAGGTAATAAATAAAGAAATGGCTATAGTCATACATTGACAGAGAACTTCCAGAGGTTCAAGCCAGATTTAGAAGAGGCTGTGGAATGAGGGCTATCATTGCTGATGTCGAATGGATCTTGGCTGAAAGCAGAGAAATACCAGAAGGATGTTTACCTGTGCTTTATTGACTATGCAGAGGCTTTCAATTGTGTAGATCATGACAAGCTAAGAACAACATTGCGAAGTATGTGTATTCCAGAACACTTAATTGTGTTCATGAGAAATCTGTACCTGGACCAAAAAGCAGTTGTTCAAATGGAACATGGGAACACTGAATGTTTTAAAATAAAGAAAAGGTGTGCAACAAGGTTGTATTCTTTCACCATACTTATTCAACCTGTATGCTGAGCAAATAAACTGAGAAACTACGTTACATGAAGGAAAACATGGCATCAAGATTGGAGGAAGAGTCATTAACAACCTGCGATATGGAGATGATACAACCTTGCTTGCTGAAATTGAAGAGGACTTAAAACCTTTACTGATGAAGTTCAAAGAGCACAACCTTCAGTATGGATTACATCTCAATGAAAACAAAACAAAAATCCTCACCACGGGACCAATAAGCAACATTCTTATCAATGGAGTTGAATGGATTGAAGTTGTCAAGGACTTCATTTTTCTTGGATCAACTATCAACAGTCACAGAAGCAGCAGTCAAGAGATCAGACAACGTATTGCATTAGGCAAATCTGCTGCACAAACCTTTTTAAAGTATTAAAGAGCAAAGATTTCAGTTTGAGGACTAAGGTGCGCCTGACCCAAGCCATGGTGTTTTCAATAACCTTACATGCATGCAAAAACTAGACAGTGAATAAGGAAGATCATAAAAGAATTGATGCCTTTGAATCATGGTGTTAGAGGAGAATGTTGAAAGTGCCATGGGCTGCCAAAAGAACCAATAGATCCATTTTGGAAGAAGTGCAGCCAGAGTGCTCCTTAGAGGCCAAGATGGCCAAACTTTGTCTCTCAAACTTTGAACATATTGTCAGGAGGGGCCAGTTGCTGGAGACAGATATCATATTTGGTGAGGTGGAGGGTCAGAGGAAAAGAGGAAAACCCCCAATGAGATGGATTGGCCAAGTGACAGCATCGATGGATTCAAAGTGTGTCAACAGTGGTGAGGTTGGCCCAGGATTGGGCAGTGTTTCGTTCTGCTGTGCATAACTATTACTATTGGTCGGTACCGACCTGATGGCACTTAGCAACAATAACAATGTGGTTAGAATGTGTGTAAATGTGAGCACTGATTTCAGGGATTTCTTTGGTGCAGCGAGCAGCTTTATGGCGTGGGACCTAGAAAAGATTCTTATTTTGTTTATTATACATTTAAGATCAATATTTGATTGAAAATAAATCATACCTGCCCCTGTCCCAGGACTCAGCAGTGTTTTGTTCTGTTGTGCATACGGTCGCTGTGAGTCAGTGTCAACTCAACGGCACCTAGTAAGAACAACAGCCCCTGTCTGAGAACCTGAAAGTCCATGTGTTTGTTGGTTTGGTGTCAGGGAAGTGTCCATTGCTCTTTCCTGTATTCCCTCATGCTACCACTCCTCTGTATGATCATCATTTCAGCCCTATCCATCTGTTCTCCCAGAGTAGCAAGAGGAAGGATGCAGACAGCCCTCAGCTGGGACCACCATGTCAGGGGCACCAGGAGGCAAGAATTCTTTAAATGAGCACACCTCCATGGAGAGAATAATATTTCAATAACTTAGTTTTTTTTTTTAAAGTCTCTTTGGGATTGAAGAGTATGTAACTTCACAGAAATGTGAACTTGCTTTTCTGATTTTCATCAATTGTAACACAATTGTGTTCATGGAGAAAGTCTGTTCTTTTTCCTGTTTTAATGTTCTATGTGCAATAGTTTTCTATTCTGCTCTTCTAATTACATCCTACTTATGACAAGTTCACTCTCACTTTTCATGGAGTATTTCCTAGTGTGAAATCCTAGTGTGGCCCTGCAGGATAATGTACTGGACTGCAAGGTCAGTTTGAACCACAAGATCAGCAGTTCAAACCCAGAAACCACTCCTCAGAAACCCTATATAGAGTAGTCACTATAAGTCAGAACCAACTGGACAGCACTTATCAATGACATTTCCTAGTATTAGAGCACAGTGGATTCAAAGTTAAGCACTGAACTGCGAACCACAAAGTCTGTGATTCAAGCCTGACAGGAACTCAGTGTGAGAAAGATGAAGCTTTCTGCTCCCACAAAGATTAAACAAAAAACAACAAACCTCGCAAACCCTATAGAGGTGTGTTATGAGTCAGAACCACCTCAAAGGCACTTAACAACAACCAAATTGAATGTCAAGAATGTTTTAGAGTTTTTTAATATCTTTATTTTATAAAAAATATGAATGAATATCAAAATAAAAGGGGGAAAGTACTCAATTCTATCTTGAAATCTGGCCCTTGTCAATATATAAAAAGTTATTTTAATAGATTTTCACACAGTACACAGGTATTGCGCATGTTGCTATAACAAGACTCATATGATGACTGTTCATTGCGGGTGGTAATGGCTGTTGATGGTTTTGAAGATTTTATGCAGATAGAGGGCTGCTTCTAACTACCCACATGCCATTAGCTGCTCCCACACAAGCCTTCCTTGAATTT